CTAGCAAGTCCTATTATCACAGACAAGTTTCATTTGAACCATCAACAATGCAACAAACCAAAAAGTTAGAACAAATGGAAGACAAAATTTCAAAACTTACAGATATGGTCTTCAGTATTAAGCAAACATTAGATGACAAATTTTCCAATGGTGGGGTTCTAAGAAATGCACCAAGATTTCAATCTAGGTCAAGGTCAAACAGTCCCATAAATTATGGTCAACCCTTCAGATCCAACAGTCCATTCAAAAGCACTCAAAATTCAACAATACAGAACAAGTCAAATCAAACATTTAGCAACTCTAGATCTCCATCTCCCTTCAAGTTTAAATACAGAACACCAAGTCCATATAGGTCTACTCCAACAATATCACAATCCTCAGCTAACTCCCCAATTCCTTCAGAAAATTTAAACTCCAGGTAACCAGTCTAGCTGACCGTAGTCTGGTTAATGAAGAAAAAGGTCAGAATCTTCAAGTCAATGTCAATGAAAATTCAAAAGGTTTGACTCTGGAGATTCCTTTTGTTGTCCATGGCCATCAAACAACAGCAGTTGTTGACACAGCAGCTATGATGACCTTGGTCAATAAAGGTATTTTCCCGGGTGAAAACAATTCCACTCTAACATCACAAAACATTACACTCAAAGGTTTAGGTGGACATGAAATAACAGGGCAACTGTACAAAAATGTCTCGTGTCAGATAGGATCTCAATCATATTCTATTGATATGTGTGCAGTTGACATGAAAGATACAGTAATTTTGGGGTTAGACTTTTTAGAGGCCAACCATTGTGTCATTGACCTCAGGAAAAATGTTTTAGAAATTGGCAAGCAAACAATAACAGCAAATACAAAGAACATACAAGGTGAACAAATCAAGGTTGCAAGGGTAACTGTTCAAAGTAGATCTATCATACCAGCAAATTCAGTGGGGTTTGTAAATTGTTCTCTAAGTAGGCCCCTTGACACCAATTTCATAGTAGAACCCTTTAGTTCCCCAGAATTTTTGTGTTCTTCAGTTCTTGGTAAAGGTGAGACTCTGAAAGTGAAGGTTGTCAATGACTCAAACAAAACTGTGAAATTAAAAGTAGGTCAACACATTGGAAATGCAGAGTCAGTCGAAATTGTAACAAATGAAATAGATCTTCAACCTGTCATTAAAAGAACATCCATTGACAATAGCACACCCACAAATCTTGCACTACCTATTCATATTCAAGATCTCTTTGATAGGTCAAGTGTAGGATTAGATCAAGAGCAGGTCAAAAAGTTAGGTTGTTTGTTACAAGAATATTCAGACATATTTTCCACAGGGGAATTAGATCTAGGGTGTCTAAAAGGTGTAAAACACAGTATTGATACAGGAAATGCTCCTCCTGTAAAACAAAAGTTCAGAACACCTCTAGGGTTTCAAGATAAAGAAAAAGAGCACTTACAGAAATTATTAGATGCAGGAGTCATTACCCCATCTTCTTCTGAGTGGGCATCTGCTCCAGTTTTAATCAAGAAAAAAGATGGTAGTGTCAGATATTGCGTAGATTTTAGAGATCTAAATGCTAGGACTGTTAAAGATTGCTATCCACTACCCCTTATTTCTGACTGTATGGATGTTCTGTATGGCACCAAATTCTTTAGTGCTTTGGATTTAGCCATGGGCTATTATCAAATTGAAATTGAGGAAAATAGCAAACAGAAAACAGCTTTTTTGACTAAATATGGCCTCTTTGAACACCAAAGAATGGCTTTCGGGTTGTGTAATGCCCCCGCAACCTTTCAAAGGGCAATGGGACTAGTCTTGAGAGGTATGACTTGGGAAGAACTTTTAGTTTACCTAGATGACATCATAGTCTTAGGCAAAAATTTCTCTGAATCATTAGAAAACCTCCGAAAAGCATTTGAAAGATTTAGAAAATACAACCTAAAATTAAAACCAAATAAATGCACTCTATTCAGACAAGAAGTAGAATTTTTGGGTAGAATAATCAATTCTGAAGGTGTACACATTTCCCCAGATAAAATTAAAACAATTAGTGAGTGGCCCACCCCTCAAGACAAAACCCAACTCCAGGCTTTCTTAGGGTTTGTTAATTACCACAGAGACCACATTAAGAATTTTGCAAAATTAGCAATACCCTTATATGATTTACTTCAAAAGAATGCTAAATTCAACTGGACCCAAGATCACCAGAATGCTATGAATGACTTGAAAACTGCTTTGACCAGTCCAGAATGTCTCAAATTCCCAACTCCAGATGGTACATTTTTACTGGACACCGATGCCTCCCATCATTCCATTGGGGCAGTCCTATACCAAATCAATGATGGTAAGGAAGAGGTCATCAGTTATGCCAGTCACACATTACTGAAAGAACAACGTAGATACTGTACCACAAGGAAAGAGTTACTTGCTGTGGTTAAGTTCTGTCGGCATTTCAGACATTACCTCATTGGTAGGCCATTTATCATCAGAACAGATCACAACAGTCTCACATGGTTGATGAGGTTCAAACACATTGAAGGTCAACTGGCTAGATGGCTGGCGGAATTATCTTCTTATGACTTCCAGATCAAGCACAGATCAGGATCCTCTCATGTCAATGCTGATTCTTTGTCAAGGATTCCTGAAACGATTCCAGACTGTGACTGCTATGATGCTGGAAAGTCGCCTAACAGTCTTCCTTGTGGTGGATGTCATTATTGTACTAAAGCTCACAATCAATGGTCAAGATTTCAGCTGGATGTGGATGATGTGATTCCACTAAGTATTAAATCGGACAATCTCTCTTCACCAAAAATACTGTACACAACCTACCCACAAACACAGCAACAGCACATTCAGCCAACTCTTTGTAATTGGTCAGAAACAGTCACAGATCAAAATTTAGGTCAGCAACAAAAAGATGATGCAAACATAAGTCCCATTTTTCATTGGTTAGAAAAACATATAGAACCATCTGAATTTGAACTCAGACTAACCAGTCCTGAAACTAAGGCTCTTTGGTTATGTAGAGATAGACTTTTCATTCAAAATGGTGTATTGTTCTATGAATGGGTGAAGTGTCCTGACAGAATGGTTTGTATTGTAGTCCCCACATCTTTGAGACAAAAGGTACTTTCCCTGTCCCATGATACAAAATCTGCAGGTCATTTAGGGATAGAAAAAACTTTAGCAACATTGAAATCTTCTGCATTTTGGCCCAATATGACAACTGACTGTCACGATTATGTGAAATCCTGTTCTGTATGCAATACCAACAAAAAACCTACCAAAACTGCTAGGGCTTCTTTAAAAACATTTCATGCTGGTTATCCCATGGAAAGGGTTCATCTTGACATTCTTGGCCCTTTTCCCCCAAGCGAGGCTGGAAATATGTATATTTTGGTTATGGTAGATCAATTTTCAAAATGGATAGAAATAGTACCTATGCCAGATCAAAATGCAGAACAAATAGCAAAAATGTTTGTAGAACATTTCATTGTCAATTTTGGCTGTCCATTAGAAATATTTACAGACCAAGGTAGACAGTTTGAATCGAAATTGTTCAAATCACTATGTCAATCATTGGAAATAGCAAAGAAAAGAACTACTCCTTACCATCCTAGTTCTAATGGTCAAGTGGAAAGATATAACAGAACAATCGTTCAAATGATTCGCTGTTTCGTGGAAAATAAAAACAGAGATTGGGATAAACATCTTCCTCTATTAGGCATGGCCCTGAGAGCAACAGTTCACAAACAAACCGGGTTTACTCCCAATAGGTTAATGTTAGGTAGGGAAGTCATCCGCCCACTCCATCTCATGTCGGGTACACAGGATCAGATCCTAAAGCCTTGTGAACCTTCTGTTTGGGTTCAGGAGTTGGAGAAACATCTGTCTGAAGCCCATGAAATTTGCAGGTCTCACATAAAATCCTCACAACTTAGGCAAAAGAAAAATTATGATTTAAGAGTTTTTGAAAATAGTTTTCAAACTGGGGATATAGTTCTATTAGCTAATTCGGCAAGCAAAGTGGGTCAATCAAGAAAATTAAAATCTCCATGGAAAGGGCCTTACTTAGTGGTTGATACAAACCCCCCATTGTACAAAATTCAAGACAAAAAAGGGGAACATGTGGTACATCATGACAGAATAAAACTTTGTAATAGCCCAGTTCCATTCAGCCTCAGACAGATGAGAAATCAATTATTTTCTGAAGACGAGCAGGGTGATGTCACTGGTGAATCCACTGAAACCCAGGTTACTGATGTGTCTGTTGGGGAAACTAGTGGCATCACTCCACCAGAGGTTTCTCCAGCTTCTGGACCTCCACCAGAGGTTTCTTCAGCTTTTGAACCCTATAAAACAGAAAATACATGTACTACAAGAACAAGAGGGGGGAGAATAGTCAAGGCCCCCAGATACTTGAAAGATTACTGTAAATAGATGATATTTGTGACTACATGTACTATTTTTATGCTTGATTAAATGTACATTTCAGAAAGCTCTTTTAAAACATCACTTGTAAATATTAATCTGATTGTTGAAAGAAGTTTACACTTCATCAACAATTTATCTTTGCATGGTGAGAAAGCTTACATTTTTTTCTTTTAGTTTAATTGAAACTCACTTGGATATTATTTCTTTAGCAATCATCTACTCAAAATGGCCTGTGCAGAGAGTCTCTATGACCTTAACTTTGAGGAAAGCAACTTCGTTCCTGATTACTCAGCTGACCCAAATGAAGACCAAGAGAACATTCCACCTACTACTGCAACATCCAAAAACAATAAGAGAAAATGTTCTTTATGTAGTTTCCATGCAGGAGTTATGAAGAGGCATGTCATATTAATGCATCTTCCTTGGTTTTTGTATCCCCTCACTGCATGTTGGCAATGTCAACAACAATTATCCACTTCATGTAAACTCTTTCATGAACACATAAATATTCATCCTCCAAATTCTACATATTTTGATAATCAGAAATTTTCAGAATGGTGCTTCCTCATACTAGGTTTTCTACATACTGTGGCACAGCTTTTGGAAATTCCGTTCAAAGATCTTTTGCCCTATATCCAACAGAACCAGCAGTTTCATCCACTCAAAAGTCCTGAACCACCTTTTTCTGATGTAGAGCTTCTCATCTTCGACCAATTCTGTAAAACAGTTGGAATTCTGAATCTACCAAATAACCTCACAATACACCCTCCAAATCATTTATTATCTTTACTACATTGGAAACTTATTAGTAATGTAATTAAAAATTTCACCTCTACTCAACGTTCACACCTTTGCTCTTCAACTTTACTGTGTGATATTTATGGACATCCTATTCTTCAAGTTCCATCCAGTCAAACAGTTCCACCAATTGCAGATTCCCACTTTCATCTTGATCAACTATGTAAAAGAAATAAAATACCAAATTTTCAAGCTTTGGCCAATCATTATAATGAAAATATTCATGATTTAGAAGCAGTCGTTGCTAATTATGTGTTCCCCAATAGCTGGAAACTTTGGAACAACCAAGTAAATTTTCAACCAAATATTTACCTTTCTTTTGGTATTCATCCACATCTTGTGCAGACCAACTGGCCTCAGTACTGGAAACCTTTACTTCATCTTGTGTCAGTCTCTTCTTGTGTCGCCATAGGGGAAGTAGGAATTGATTTAACTTCAAAATGTTCCATCCATCATCACTGTCAACATGAAAGCTGCAAACAAAGAATCAAACATAACCAAATTCAGTTCTTTCAAGAATGTGTTTCTTTGGCCAAAGTCACTGAAAAGCCTTTGATTATTCATTCAAGGGATTCATCTGATGGTGAAGCTGCAGATATCATTTTGAATATTCTGAAAGATCTGGATGCTTTGCACATTCCAATCTATAGACACTGCTTCACTGGGACTCTAGATGAACTCGAGAAATGGAAGACATCTCTAACAAATGTAAAATTTGGAATAACTTCAAAATTTGTATCATCTACAATAAGGAAAATTCCTCTCGACAAATTACTCCTTGAATCTGACAGTCCGTATCTTTCTACTCGTGGCCCCTGGTCTGTTTCCTCTGTAGCTAAACAAGCATCACGATACCTCAACATTCCTGCACATATTCTCATTCTTATCTGCAATCAAAATGCCAAAAATTTCTATAAGATTTAACTGTGTATATATTGTTTTTTATGCTGACATTTCATTTACATGTATGCACTCATTATGATGTTTACACATCTCGAGTGTAACGTGTAACATTATCATTCTTCATTTACCCATTTTTATCTTTAAAAAAAAAAACAAACAAACAAAAAAAAACAAACAAACGAAACTTAAAATCTCGAACTATTTTGGATGTTTACACATCTTTTCTGGTTCGTTAAAAAAAAAACAACTAAATATGTGCATCTATTTAATTGTTTTTTAAATGTAAATAATACTATACCTTGCCTTTCACTTCCACATGGCATGGTATGACAGGTATAACACATTGACGTTTTGTATACGTTGTTACACTCTTCTGTCCTTTCTTCGCAGAAGAGTTACAAAAACTTTAGATTAAACAAGTTGTACCTAAAATGACTCATTTTATATGTAAATACTTTTCCTACATGAACGGGGGGAATGTAGTATAAATACGTTTATTTATATCGGGTTCGGGGTTTGGTCTGTGGTCTATGTGATTACAGATCACCTATTTTTAGTGCCTTTCCTTTATCCGACACTGAAGAGTGCAGACGTATCTCCGTCCTGTCCGGTGTTTTCGGGTTTGAGGCCATCTTACCCTTGGTAAGAATAATTGTACAAATTATATAGAATTATACAACATTAATAAGGAAATCAAAGGAAGACAACTCTTGCATTTTACATCTCGTGTCAATATATTCTTCTGTGTTTCAACAACGGCACAAGAATATTGTGAAATTTAAGATAAAATTCAATAAATGGTACCTAGGTTATATTCTAAAAATATTTTGATCTTGCATTCCTGTATTATCTGCTTTTTATTGCCCAATGTACACTTTCTAATCATTTTCCTCAGAAAGATAGATAACTCTGGATGAATTCTGCATTTTTTAAACATTCATACAAGACTTAATTTTCACCCGATTTGAGAAATGATTGCTGATATGGAATCAGTGGGTCATACTTTACACAACAAATATAAAAAACTGACAATTATTTGAGTCCTTAAAAATTATTGGGCATTGCTACCTAGTGATCAATAAATTACTTATTGAATGAGTACGGTAATTTTGTTTGTTAACGACGAATGTTTAGGCCATTTAGCATCACTTATTTTTCAGATTTATTTCCCTTTTGTTAATAGCTACGCTTGATATTTATATTCGATATGAAAGTGAAAGTAGAAACTTTGTAAAGCAGTTAACATAAAATGTTTGTTGAGATCGTTATTCATTCGGTTCTTTCATCAAATGAATGAGAAACGTGTTTTAAATAATGTATTTAGGAACTGAGTTCAGTGTCACAGTGCTGTTTTTGTATTTTTTTTTTGTTCAAAGAACCCCAAAGCTGATTAGACTGACGATTGAACACAAAGCTGATTTGACTGACGATTTAAACCCAAAGCTGGTTTGGCAGACGATGCATGATCACAATGCAGGTAAAAATAAATAAATAAATACATTAATCATCACAGTATATATAAGTAATGACTTAAACATATATCAAAAACTAAATAAATCCAACTCTTTTTCTATAGAACAAATCCAGCACACTAATAAAATATATATACATGTATAAGTATGAAAACATATGAAAATATGTAAGTCATATATTATAGAACTTGCTGGCTATAAAAACTATGAAGAACTATAAAACTATACATTATCTTCTGGGGGATAATGACTTTTAGCTTAATCAGACATTCAAGGTACTATTACATGTGCATTGAAAGTACATTGTATACATTTTCATGTACTTTGGTTAATGATTTGGGGGTCTGCATCAAGCAGAAATGGATTATATATATTATATCTATTATTTTTTTATATAGATTAAAAATTTGCAGAGAGAATGTCAATTGGCTTAAAAAAAGATTTAACATCAACCCCTGGATTTCTTTTAAGGATACAGAAGTACAGGTATGATGAATATAAATGCTAGCTAACTACATGTATTTTGCAAGAATTGTGCATTTAAGTAGATGCACTGAGCATTTAAGTAGATGCACTGAGCATGTATGTCATGTTATATGAAACTAATAAAGTTTATAGTCAATATGTATAATAGTGAAGCATTTTTTCTTGAAGAATCTTAGTATGTGTTTGATGTATAGAAAAATAAGTGAAAAATGCATTGCTTTATTCATTCAGGAGATGCTCAGCAATCTGGCATAGAAGGCTGGCTGGACATGAAATGTTATGGGAGTTATGTCTAGCTTTGGATCCACTGAATTCACATATTACAGAAATCAGATCAGAGCAAAGGTGTGCACACATTTTATTTATATATGTTACATATCATCCTAAGAAGTATCAAAGTCTATTGCTAAATTGAATTACCTTGTCAAAACAAAATTTTGCACTGCATTCCATTTAAGCTATACATTGTGAATTGAATTGTTTAGAAAAAAATGTTTTAGCTGATGGGTAACAAAGAAGTTGATGTAGAGGGTCCCTCCATTAAGTCTCTACATAATTATCGATGAAAATGTTTCCTTCCTCCTACAATTATGCTAACAAATCCAGAGAGGGAATACTTCACACTGATGCTAGTATGATGCTAGTATGAAAACAGTAAGAGTCAACATTTTAAATTGTAAAAATATTGAAGTTAAACTTTAATGTTAAAATTTTGAGATATATATTTGTTTATTGGAAGGACATCTTTGCTAGTAAATATGATCAATGATACAATGATAGAAAATTAGTTCATGTTTGTTGGATGTCACAAACAATTTTTCCAATCATATTCATCTTTAGAATCACTTGAGCCTTCAGCTCAGATGAGCTAAAAACAAGTACTTTCATTTTAAATGAAAGTACTTGTTTTTAGCTCATCTGAGCCAAAGGCTCACGTGAAGTTTTCTGATCAAAATTGTCCATTGTCCATCATCATCGTTGTTGGCATAAACTTTTCACATTTATGTCTTCTTCTCCAGAACCACTGGACTAATTTCAACTGAACTTGGCAAAGAGGACCAATAGTAAGGTACCAGTAGGGGTTCAAAGTTCAATCTACAGATTATATAGGGTAAAGTCTTTAAAAATCTGCTTTTCAAGAACTACCACACTACAATTTGTGATATTATTTTGCAAACATCCCTATGCAGTGTTGTTTCAAGTTTGTTGAAACAATGACCACTAAACCACCAGTGGGGCCCCTGAAGGGTTGCAAAGTTTTACATAGTAATTTATACTTGTGTATAGGAAAAAATTAAGTCTTTTTAACAATTTCTACATTGCTACAATAGTGGGGCCTAAGGAGGGAATCTTGAGTAAATTTGATCAGTATGGAACAAATATCAAAAAAATACTTTTGCAATTTATTCCAGCACTTTTTTTGTATTGACACACATTTCACAAAAGCCACTTGTGTCAGAGTTAAGTGAGTTTGCCATTGTTTGCTCAGGTGAACAATGTGGTCCATGGACCTCTTGTTATTATTATTAATGCTAATTATTTTAAAAATAATTTTTAGAGATTATTCTGTGCCACAAACAAATTGTTCAGATAGGGGACATTGGTGGATTTGCATTTTGGGTACAGTTCAAAGAATTTTCAATATGATGATGGAAGATCAGAGGGAGAACAAATGGGAAAAGTTGACAGAGAAAGAAAAGAATTAGGAAATATCTGGAATAAATATGAATGAGAAGGATGTACTTAATTTTGTCAGACTTTGACATGCAAGGCTTTCTATTTATTTGTATACTGGAATATCATTTTGATTGTAAAATCTCATTCTAATGTATTCACATTTTATATTTCATGCTTTATGCATAAATACATAAACATTTTTATGAAAAACTATATATATATATATATATATATATATATATATATATATATCTTTGTTCAATCAAGACATCATCCTTTGTGATTTCATACTCATTTATGTGTTAAATATGCTGTAGGTACATGTAATCTGAATTACTTATGATTTGTCATAAATTTACAATAGAGATTACATATATTGACAAATGTTGTTGCAGATATTTCAATTTTGCTAAGGACACTTCCATGTCATATAGTATTTTTATACAAGTTCATGATCTAATTATTTTATTCATGGGTACATGTATACATGTTCATCTCCTTGATCATTTTGCTGAAATCCTTTCAAATAATTTGTACTCGTTTTAGAATATGTAAAATACATGTATCGACAAATGCTACTGACTTGTTTGTATACTTTCTTGTTTAAAGTGTGCACTGTGTGATATTAGTTATTTCTGTTGATGAAGATACTTTTGGAAAATTGTGCAAGCATTATCAAATATTTACAGGTATTTAATAGATCATTGGAATGTACTGAAATTTCATCTAAAGCAGAAATACCTGATTTTCAATGTGTACAAGTGTGTATTTCCTTTTGATAAATATGAAAAAAAAAACATAAATGTTTCATATGATATACATATGATGCCCATTTCATATGATTCTCATATGTAAATGACTTGAAACACACTAAAACTTTTCATGTGCAAATCATATGAAATTCTTTTCATATGATTCACATATGTGAATCATATGTGACTCATATGATTTGCTTCATATGATTCACATATGATGCCCTTTTTTTA